TCGTCGAATCATTCACACGAGTTTAAAGACCATTTTGGCACCGGCCAATCTGGCCAGATGAGCCGAATGGGCGACATAATCTGCACCCCGCCAAACACTCGGCCCGGTTTTCGCGTTTCTATTGGTTGTGGTCGTCGTTCGGTTCGGTTCCCACGCCACTGAATTGCATTACCGAATTGAAAGCCAATTACAAGTAATATTTTGCAAAACTTCTGTCACTGACAATTAAAAAAAAATTTTGATGTTTTTTGCCCCTTTAAGAAAAATTGCGACAGAACGTGTGTTCTTCCGCGTGACCGTCAAGGGCAAGCCCAGGGCCCAGGCTGGCCTGTCCGTAGTGTCCGCCGTGTCCAGTAGGGGCCCTGCCCCGGGCCGGGGCCGGGCCGGGGCAGGGCGGCAGGGCCCGAGGCTCTATATCCAGTCTGTTGGCTGTCTAGTCAGGCCGGCCGGCAGTCCGGCGGACCGGCTTAGCAACTGCAGTGGACAGGATGGCTCCCAATTGAATCAGGGGGCAGCAGGAAAACATCCTTTTGAGTACGCATCAACGCACCAAAGGTCCGGCCAGGGACCTGCAGGACGAACGGGGAGAGCGAGGGGGGAAAAGGGGAGGAAGGAAGGGGGGCCGAATCGCAGCGACAATGATGTCATTGCCGGGCTGTCTCAGCGCATCAGCCGCTGCCGATGAGGATGAAATTTCTCGGCTGCCTCAGTGTGTTGAAGTCAGTTTTGATCTCCGCTGCCCTCCCCGTCCCCGTACTGGTTTGCCGGCCCGAGTCGCCCTGCAGCGCGGGCCTGGAGCGGTGCCTGTGCGCCTGCGACGCCGGCATAGGCAGCCCGGCGCACAGGCGCGCTTAGCGGTACTGCGGCGGCCCGCCCGGCAGGCGCTAAGGACGGCAGGACGGCGGCCCGGCACGAAGCGGCACCGGACCGCACCGCGTGCTCGACGAGCTCCTCTCCGGGCTGGTGGTGGCGTGAGCCTCACGCCTCGCGAAAAAAAGAAGTGCCGGCTTTGGGTCGCTTTGGGTGCTCGTGCACCATGCCGGCGTCCTGGAGGCCCTGCAGGCCGCGGCGCCGTCTAGCCGCCACGCGTGACGTAGGTCCAGACGGCGTGTCGTCGACGGCGTCCTGGACAGCGCGACGGACTCCTGGCAGTGTCCTGGCGCGCATGCGCGATGACTCCCCCCACCACGGCGGCTGCTGCAGCTACTGTTGCCACCCGCGTGCTGCTACTGCCGCGCCGTGGCGGTCCGTGGCGGGCTGCTGTTGCCTGCTGCCGTCTCAATTGGAGCCTCCCCTGCCCCCCGCGCCACCCCCCGCGCTGCCCCCCGCGCCGCGCCTTGCCGTGGCCCGTATATTAGGCTAATCAGACGCGGGGGCAGAGCAGAGCATCAGTTCAGTTCAGTCGCGCAGCAGCCGTACCGCGGGACGGCTCGGTCCTCGCGCCGCCGCGCCGCCGCGCCGCCTCGCATCCCGGCGGACGCACCGCGCCGCGCACCGCCGCGCCCGCCGCGCCCCGCCCCGTCATGACCCGTGTGCAGCGCGCGGCCGGCGCCGCGTCAGCGTCGCGTCACCCGGCAGTGCGGTGAAGAACGCCCCGTGGCGGGCCGAGTCCGGGCCGAGCCCCGGGCCGCCACGCCCACGGCCGTGACCTCGGTGTCCACGACGGAGGTGAGTATCGCCGGCGCGCCCCGAACCGCCATCGCCGACGGACGACGGACGCCCCCCGCGACGCCCACCGCCGTCGCGGGCCTCTCGCCTCGGGCTGCCGCTCTGGGCCGCGCTTGCCGCCGCGACGGGTGCTGTTCCGCTGGCGTGACAACGTGTTGTGCCGAGTGATAACAGCTCATGTGCGTTATAAAGGGGCCGTCCCGCGACGGCTGGCTGCCGCGCTCCACGAGACAGCCCGCGACAGCTCGAGACAGCCCGAGACAGCCCGCGACAGCCCGAGACAGCCCGAGACAGCCCGCGACAGCCCGCGACAGCCCGAGACAGCCCCAAAGAAGCACGAAAAGACCCAAGAGACCCGAAAGGTCCCGCCGGCAGAACCCGAGTGTTATCACAACGTGGCAAAGCGGGGCGCGGGCTGTTGGCCTGCTGGGCCGCCCCACCCCGCCCCGCCCCGCTCCGCCCCGCCGTGGCCAAGCCCGGCATGTGCGTGGCAGACTGCAAGCGGGCGTGAGCACAAGGGGAGTGTCGTGGGCATGAATGGCAAGTCCCCGTGCGTGGAAGCAATTTTCGTACAGACGGACACCTTCACTCTAAAATTCACCAGGGTGCGTATTTACATGGTGGCTGCGTGGCTGTGCACGCGAGCGGTGCGATGCAAGAGATGCAAGAATGAGCTCGACGCGAGCCTCGACGCGGGCCTCGACGCGGGCCTCGACGCGGGCCTCGACGCGGGCCTCGACGCGAGCCTCGACGCGAGCCTCGACGCGAGCCTCGACGAGAGCTCCTCGCAGTGGCACCGCCTCCTTTCCGAGATTGGAAGCGAGAAATGTGTGTTTTTGCTCGGAAGGCCAAGTTTGTCGGGCACTATCGTCGAAAGTTATGTCATCCGAGGAGATTATCGCGCGAAACTCGCACGATTCCCAGAGCGTCTTGATAATTGATTGTTTGTCTGCTGCTCCGTGTGTCTCGGTGTGTCTCGGTGCTCCGGAGTGGCAGTGCACAGAGGGCCAGAAGGCCGGGGGAGGCGGTCAAAATCCCGGACGCGTTTTGAGCACCAGAGTCGCTAAATGGGACTCGAACCGAACGTGTGACCCCACCAATGGATTCCTCGTTCGGAGAGCAATCCATTGGTGGGGTCACACGCTCCGTTTGAGTCCTGTTGAGCGACTTTGCAGCTCAAAACGCGTCCAGGGTTTTGACCGTCTCCACCGGTCTTCTGGCAAATCCGCTGTGCGCCGGGGCCGCGGCCTCCTAGTAGCGCAGTGTAGTACCGTGTAGTACTCGCTGCCCTGCGACGCGACGCAGCGCGACTGCCGCGGTCTTTCCGCTTCCGGCGAGTGCATCGCGACGCGGCGCGACGCGGCGTGCCCGTGCCGCTCAGGCCCCTGGTGCTCATGCCCAACTTCACGCTCCATTCGTTTATCTCAATGCGCCATGCTCTGTACACACAGACGCACGCACACTCTCACACAGACACACACACTCGTGGTCCCACAACTCATGCATGTGTGTATTTTTGGCCGGCCTCTAGTTCGGGGTGGTATTCGCTCTGCAGCTTGTAATTCTGCCGCCGGCTACAAGGAGTGTCGTAGACACAAGCACCATAGAAAGGAAAACAAAAAAGAGAGAAAGAGGGACCATCGGTGACAGAATCGGTATCTGCTTGCGGCATCTAGGCGCGCGACGGGGACGCGTCGCATGTGGATCCACCAGGATCGGTGGAAAAGAACGAGTCTATCTCAGCTGAAAATAGACCAAAATAGACAACATGTGACTGTCGCCGCGGAAAACACAACGCCGGTTGCGGAGAGTGCGTTTCATTTTCAATTTGGTGTTGGCGTTGCGAACGGGGTTCCCCCGGAGGGTTCCCCAGAGGGTTCCCCAGACGGGTACACGAGGGGGGCGTGGGGGCGTGGGGGCGTGGGGGCGTGGGGGTGTGGGGGCGTGGGGGCGTGGGGGCGTTCCCCGCCGCAGGGAGCAGGTCTGGCGGTCCCGGGCGGTCCTGGCCTTCCCAGAACGTCCTGCTTCACGCACTAGTTGGCTTGCACAGGCTGGACGTTATCTCGAGATGCACGCCGGTCCACGCCATGTGACGGCTGCTGCTGCCGCGCGCCAGCGAGGACTCCAAGCTGCGGGGCAGGGGCACGCTGCCAACCAGGATCACGGCAACAGCGTCCTCCGCGTCTGGACTTGACTGCATTCACCATCACTCCCCCTTTGAAAATGTTATCGCGCTAATGAGAAATGCGACCGGGCTGTGCTTCCAGTGCGGTTTCTGCCGCGGCCGTCCAGGCCGGCTAGTCCCATGTGTGCCCATGTAGTCCCCGGTCCCTGCGGCCAAGCCATGCGGCAGCCGAGCGGAAGTCCTTCCCCCACCCGACGGCCTCTGTACATCGGCGGCGGCGGCGGCGTCGCTGCGATATGGATACGTAGGCCCTGCACTGTCGAATTACAACTAACGCTGGCGAGGCAGGACGTCCACGTAACGACCGCGGCCGCCGTTTTCTAGCCACGCGACCGATGAAAATGAAAACCTTGAAAACCGACGTGTCGCGACAGTGGAGTGAACCGGGCCCCTAGGCAGCGGGAATTAAAAATGTCAACGCCACCATGGCCGGCCCGGCCTAGATTTGACGGCGCCTGTGCCTAGAGCTCCGCCTAGAGCTGGTGGCGCCTAGACGCAGGCCTCACGCAACGAGCGCGTCACGAAGCGTCAGGGCGCCGCCAGCGCCAGCCTCGCCGGCCGGGCTCTCCTCTCCTCCTCGGTGACGTGCGGCGTCGCGGCGTGACGTGGCCCAGCCGCCCGATCATTCCGAGCGGCCAATTTCGAGTCACCGTCTCTGTCGCACTCTTGGCGCGCCCCGTAAGAGCGTGAGCGAGAAGGCACTCTGGCCGGCGAGTCGGGGTGGCGGCCTTTGCAATTAAACATTGTTATGGCCGTCGCCCGCCGCCAGTTCGCGTTTCACCCGGCGCCATGTATTGTGCCTAGCCTCGCCGGCCGCGCGCACGCGCACCACAGATGTACCCGAAACGAATATACCATTCGCCGAAGTGGCGAGTGAGTGGAGCGGAGAGGAGAGGGGCACTCGCAAGAACCCCGCCAGACTTCCCGGGGGGTTTTCTGAACCAGAACCGCGTGCTGACGGCGTTTTGTCTCTTGTTCCAGGATGGCTGAGTCTGAGTCAAGCCGCCGCTGGGGCCAAGTGGCCGCCCCCGCCAAGCCGCCTGCTGCAGCCGCTGCAGTGACTCACGGCCACGCAGCGCCGCCGGCGCAGCGCCAGCGCCTCCAGACACCGGAGACGGCGGCGCCGCAGCACCGCCAGGAAGGAATCAATCGGTCCGAAAACGAGAGTGCCCCGGTGCCGCCGTGCCCGTGCTGGGGAGGTCCCTGGCCCTGCCTGTCCTGGCCGCGCCTGGCTGCCGCCCGGGAGACGGACGAAAGGTCGCGTACGGCCCAGTGAGTTAATAAACGGAAGAATCCGAGTGGGCGAAGCGCGACGCAGCCTGAGGCGTCGCGGAGGGAGACCCCCGGCGGAGCCCCCACTTGTCAATGACTGAAATGGAGCAGTCGCCGAACACGACGCACAGTGGGCCAGAAAGCCGGTAGAGGCGGTCAAAATCCCGGACGGGTTTCGAGCTCCCGAGTCGCTAAATGGGACTCGAACCGAACGTGTGACCCCACCTTTGGATTGCTCTCCGAACGAGGAAGCCATTGGTCGGGTCACACGCTCGGTTCGAGTCCTGTTGAGCGACTCTGGAGCTCAAAACGTGTCAAGAGTTTTGGCCGCGGGCGCCGGTCTTCTGGCCCACTGTGCGACGGTCCGGGGCCGAGGCGCGCTCAACTCGTCTCTGTCTCTTTTGCTCGCAGGTGCGTGTCCAGTGTCAGGCCGACGCGGACCTCGGCACCGCCTTCGCCGTCCCGTGCGGCCGCGGCAGGCTGACGGGCACCGGCCAGGGAAGTCCCCGCCGGAGACGACTCAGCACAGCAGCTCGCGGGCGCCGAGCGGCCATGCCCCAGGACTCTGACGGGGACCTCGGCCTTCCGCTGGGAGTGAAGAACAACGACCCCGGCCGCCCGGACAGCCATCGCCAGCAGGGAGGGTTGCCTACACTACCGGGGCAGTGTAGCCCGTCCAGCTCGCGCTGCAGTGCAGCACCGCGAACAGCCACTGAGGCGCCGCCGTGGCTCGGCAGCTGGACCACCACACCGTGGCGAGTGCAGCGCAGAGCCGTCGTTTGAACCGGCCCCGTTCCTAAGTACTAGTGCCGCAGGAGTGGGTATTTGAAATCCCCTGCCGCTCGAGTGCTTACCAATGGGGAGGTCGCATCGACTGTCGACCCGACTCTACCCCGCGACTGCGGGGACTCTAGCGCGGTGTCGCGCCGCACAACTCGCGTGCTTTACCCGCCCTGTGCCTGACCTCGGCCAGTAGACTGATTCACAGTCATTTGCGTCGCTCTGTTTCTCTCGCACTCTTCAAGTGCGGCGGAGACAGCGACGAAAGCGACTCTCGGAATCAGTCAGCTGCGGGGTTTCAGCGACCGCGGTTGGTCTTGCGTCCATTCGTGGGGGCTTCGCCTCGCCACCGACTGCCCGATCGGCCGATTCCAAGCGGTGGCGGATCCCCCGCGTTGCGACGCGTTGCCAGCATGGCGGCCATGCGAGCCCGTGCAGTGTAGTTGTCTAGGTTCTGCATGGCGAGGAAAGTAATCTATGGATTAAGCATGCATGCCATTTTGGTAGCAATTTGAATTAGTGCGGGTGGGGTGAAAATAAATGTGAGCCACTGCGATACTTTAGACAGTGTTTTATTAATCCTAATGATCCATCTCCATCATCGGTCCTCAGTCATATGATCACATTTAGTGTTTGAACAACATAGAACTGCCCTTCAGGAGTCACCAGCGTAAACTTTTAAACATCACCTCAATTGTTCCTAGATCAATATTGAAATTGCACACACATGACTCAAACACATGAAGGGACCAGCAGAAACACAAATACATTTTAGGTCATGTAATTTTACATTTAAATAAATGAAAAAATTAAAGAAAATGCGTTTAAAAAAGGATTAGAAAAACGACTTAACAACAAACAAGAAAATGGCTTGAAGTATTAACACACAGCACTTTTCTAATGGTAACAGCTGCCATGAAGAGCTTGTTCCTTATGTTCCAACAAAAAACATCTTCAAACCAGAAATTTTGTAAAAGGAAAAATAAATTAATTCCTAGATATGATATAGGTGAGTGCCTGTTTTGAAAATTATCTTTTGAGCTGATAAAATTCACAGGTAAGTAACTTGCCAGTGAAAAAAATTACAAAAATTGATCTCGTTCCAAAATTGGATGCTGACCTCTGAGCTATATATAGGAATAGGTTTGATCAAATAGTGACTTGGATGATTGAAACAATGATTCACACACCAACACAGTACAAAGTTACCTTCTTGTGGTATTTTTAGCTAAACATAATATGACAAGCCCTACAGATTACGCATAATATAGCACGGGATAAACAAAAATTATAGCATATCTGCAGCTGTAGGAACTTGAAAAGAATTACCATCAAATCACTTGTTTGAATAAATACAGATTTTAAAGGTTGAAAGTATGTTTTACCAAACAAAATCCTACTTGAAAGGAAAGGTTTGTGACACAATATACACAAAATAGTCTTTAGGGAAACCAGTACTAATAAAGCAAGAAGTCAACTTTGTACATATTATGATGACTAGTCACAATAGTGATAGAAATTTCAGATAAAAATATAAAATATCTAAAGCATTTTGTCACAAATATCACCAAACATGCACACATACACACACACTCACACCTAACAGTTCATTTCCGTGACAAAAATTACTCATCTTCTGTAACTTCCTTGTGGGGTTGGGTTACTGAGGAAAGCTAAGTGACCCTTAGGGCATTTGTTGGCATAGTGTCCCTTGCAACCACACTGTAAAAAATGAAGACATAGTTTGATAAGTTTCGTTGTCAATAAATGCATAAGAACAAAAAAAATTTTAAACGTAATAACTGAGTAAATACTGTACCTTGAAGCATGTTACTTCTTCCAAGGGTTTAAGAGGAGGTCTCTCTGACATTTCTCTTGTATCTCCTCCATCCAGAGGTGCATTGGAGAGATTAGAATGGTGTCTTGGATTTGGTGCAAAAGGCAGTTTATTCTGTAAGGAAGAAAAAAATGTAATCACACTTTCACAGGGAAATTACCGGTACGTATACAGTTTTTGGTAGACTTTTGTAGACATTACCTTGTAATCCTCATTTTTATAAGGGAAGTCTTTCATCTCTGGTGGTAACTGCTTACAGTATAATGCTTTGTGTCCATGCTCTCCACAGTAGTGACAGGTAATGACTATCTTTTTTCCATGGTTCGTCATAAGTTCTGCTGCAGGCAGTTCAAACCTCGGACTGAAAAAGGGGAAATTGTTTGAAGCAAATTGGTAAAGAATGAACTTTAGAACAAAATACAGCAGTATTTCCAAAATTATTTAGACATATAACTTACTGCATAAACTTGCACTCTGGGCCGTCCGGACAAAAACCAGCGACATAATTCATACAGAGCACGCGCCGCACATGCCGATGCCTGCAGTTAGGACCATGCCGACAGAACCCTCGTTCATACCATGGACAATCCTTCATTTTACTCTCCGGATCAATGTGGAGGAAAGGGCACTCTTTGTTGTGACAGGCATCTGAAAGAAAAGAAAGGTTAAAACAGAATTGCTTTCTCAGATTATAAATATATCATTGAAAGGATTGACTTACTGAATCTTGAGTAAAAGTAACACTCAGGCATTTTACTCATGTCATATTCATGAAGGAATTCACACTGATCGCCTTTTTTGCAGAGCCCACGAAGCCAATGTTTGCAGACAATTGTACGGTCACCCCGAACATGTCGAAAAGGGCATAGTGCTCCTTTGGTACAGTTTCCTCGGGGATAAAACTCGCAAACTGCAGCAGTGGATTCTGAAAAAAAGAACATAAATTTTATTTCTTAGTTTACTTGCCATTTACAACCATAAGAATGAATTAGCGTTCGGTCACATTCATTCAAAGCCCCATCAACAGAGATTTAAACAACAAAGAAATTTATAGAGAAGATGTAGAATGAGAGAAAATTTAAAACGAATGACCGGACGAAAATGATATGTATGTCACTGCAGACAAAGGTGGAAAAAATTAATTGCAATGATTTATAATTGAGGTTATGGGTAGTGGAAAAATAACACGAGCTAATGAATGTATGAGCTATAGGGCTACGAAATGTATATCCAAGGGTCGCATTAACTACCAACAGTCAGTTCTACATTGTCCCAGCGGTATTATCAGAGTAAATGAAGGTAGAAACTCACTATCCATCCCCGGGAAAGGTAGGGGTACTGCTCCATACTGCTGTTCTAGTTGCACTTCAATGTCAAATTTTATGTCATCCACACTGGCTACGACAACTTCCATTTCTAAGAGATAACACCACAAAACCTCGACGAATTAAGCAGGAAGTTTTATTCAAAATTCACAACAAACATCAGGCGGTCATGACATGTTTACCACAAGAAACAGCACCACAGTGGTGGTATGAGAAATTTCTACACGTGAGAAGTAAGGAGCAGTTTCTCATACATCAGATGCTCTGCTGTTGCCCACATGCCAACGCTGTTGTTGGTGTTGGTGTTGGGCGTTTCGTGTTGAACTGTCAATCTGCTGCAGAAATTCCGAAATTTAGGATTGTAGTGTCAGCCTACTGTTGCCTTCTCAAGAAAATACCCTGTTTCTTTTGTGCTGTTTGCGTCCAATCAGTCATGAAGGACGGTTTTCGACATTCTGTCATTGGTGTGGAGGTAAGTTCATTGCTATTGTTTGTGTCCATCAGCATTGACATATCTTGCCAATTAAATTCGTGATAAACATGCTCGTAATAAAAACACTATGTTAATCTGACACTCGCATTGTTTTTATTAGCTGTGTACTTTTATCTTCCTTTCGTCTCTGGAAAGCATTACTCGCCTCACTGACATGATTCCGTCTCTTTCATTTCAGCTTTCCAAAGACAAAGAGGCATCAAAACCCTTGGGTGATGCCCTCAATGAACCTATTAAAAGAAAGAAAGTGCCCCGTCGTATCCTTCACTTCAGTGATGGGACTTTGGAGGAGTACAGCACTGACGAAGAGGACACCACAGATTACAAGAAGGACACTCAACTAGCTCATATTGATCCTGTAAGTCCTTGAATACTTGCCTATGGTGTTGTGGGTTATCCTGTTTGGAGTCGAAATTGTGCTCAGAATCATTTTCACTGTTTGCAGAAACAAATGACATGGTTTCCCTGGATGTGGTACCAGGCAGCAACTACTGCATCACAGACTTTACAGGTTTGCGATTATCTGGGCGAGTCATTGGCCAGTTTCTTTGGAATAACGACTCCTAAGTATCAATATGAAATTGAAGAGTATCACCGCATTGTTGCCGAGGTATAATTTCAATTTTCTCCTTTCCTTGTGATTTTTGCTCGATATCATGAGATTATTATTATGTATTTCTTTGATACGCAGGAAAAGGAAATGCAAAGAAAAATGGACATGGAGATGGGTGGTTGGGTGACTTCAAGTGAAACAGAATTCAATACCATTGGCAGCCAGCCACAGGTGTCTCAGGAGAGGTACTAAATTTAATGAGCTAATGCTTTCAAGCTTAAAATGCATCTTTTTCTCTCCTAACCATGACACAACTCAAAATCGGCAGATAATGTATAAATGCAAACTTTGTTTATGCTTTTTATCAGATTCACTTCAATATTTCAGCTTAGTTATTAAGTCTCTAATGTCTCTTCATACTGCATAGTGCAGCAAGCTTACATTTAATTAGTTTTGAATGAGAGCAAGGCTGCTTGAAATATGTTTTTTTTAGTATCTTTTAACATGGTGTGATGCTGCTTGCTGTTCCATCCGTCAACTTCCATTATTTTCTTCCTTAAGGAGGTATGAATATACTAACTACAGCTGCATTTTTGTTTGTTAATGACAATACTGTGATATGCATGAAGGTGTGAATATATTTTTATTTTTTACTATTATATCAGCCAGTGGTTTTTGCCATTTGCGCACAAGAATATTTTTGTAATTCAGATAATTTTGTAACAGTATATCTTTCCCTTTTGGTTTATTACACTTTGTACTAGACTTCATTCATTTCCTATTCTATTATATACATATTTTTGTGAAATCTATCTTAAGTACTTATTGTCAATAGAGTGTACTTATTGATCCCTAATTTAGTAAGGCAAGAACAAGCAGAAAGCAAGAGGTGTGACAACGACATTACATATGCACCACACAATGACATTGCTGGCGCCAGACAGTGCACTTTTGATTGGCTGTTCCCTGCTTTGCTGCTGTTCCTTAGCTGATGAAGGGTGAATGTGATGCTATGGAGTGGGTGTGATAATCTGTTCTAAAAAAAGGGTACGGTGGTGGAGTCTTAGGCCCAGACCTTCTCGTCTCTCCAATCTAAAAGAAATAGTATTGTGTTTGTTTTGCCGTAGTTTCTTCCTATGATTCTTCCTTATCTTTCATTTTATATAAGCATTAACATATATTTTGCCATTTACTTTCTTTTTCTCCAAGGTAGTTAGCACAAAGAGTTAGCAAATCTACAAACTGCTGTATGTTTACAGGCATTGGACTCATGGCCAGAAAGGAAGACCAGTATAGTTGGGGTGATAGTGAAACCATATTTTAATAACCTATTGTAAGATAGAGATGGTCCATGTTTGCTGGCTATTTAAGCTTTTACCAAATGTATGTAGTGGAAATTTTCTTTCCATTTTCCTCTGTTGTATTCTTCATAGTTTAAATAAACAAGCTACTTATTAAATTTTGAAATCCTAATTTATTGTGACTTCCTTATTACAATAACATTATATAATCTAAAAATGATCCTTACAATAAATATTAAATAATTTAGAAGATTGATTTCAGCAGGGCTTTTTTTAATAGTAGGGGATGGGTGCAATGTTGTAAAAAAAGGGTTGAATAATTTAGAATGGTTCTCTTGAAATGTTTAGTTCAATTCTAACGAAGCAGCTTAATGCCTATGAGGAAGCAGCACTCAGTGTTGTCGTTCCACAGCTTCCACTTGACGTCATAAGCTCTCTGCAACACGCAAAAAAGATTCAATCAATTGTATAGTCATAACAACGTCAATTTAAATTTTTTTCAACTGAACGAGCCTGCAGTTGAAAGTTGAAAAACACGTACCACAGGGAAGAAGTTGGAGATTTCAAGTTTGTAGTCGTAGGTCTGCTTCTGGTTGGCCTTGATGGGGCAGGAGGTGTAGTTGCAAGCGTTGGTGTCCATGCCCAAGAGAGGCAGGTCAACCAGCTGGTTGGCCCAGTAAGCCCTGCCGGTCAGCTCCTGGTCGGCGTAAACTGGAGACAAAATTAAAATTCAGATACGTTCTCGGGTATGGGAAGAAAAATTGTGGAAAAACAAGCGGGGTGAGAGGGTGGTGTCGCCTCCCAAGTCAAGCAAAGTATTGAGTTTTCCGGTGCGACGCTGTCGGATGAGATGCCTACCCTCTCGGCGCCAACGCGGCGCGATAGGGGCCCGGTGGGTCGGCTACCCTTCCAACCCGCTCGCTGGAGGGAAGTGATACTCACGCGGGGTGAAGTCCACTGCCAGGGAGACGCTGTTCCCGCGCTTGATCTTGCAGGGCTTGCCCTCGGCCGCCTCTGGGCAGGGAGTGACGCTCACGGCGTTGATGGTGCAGTTCCTCTGGATGGGCTCGCCGAAGGTCTCGTCCACGTTCTCTGGAAAGAGAAGCAACATCGAGTTGAATCAATCGGTGCTGGTGTGCTGTTTCGCCTTCAGTACGGTAAAGGATTGATGCATGGACATCTTCCAAGGCTCAGGTTGTCGCTCCGAAACGGCTGGGGCTAAAAGTAGTGACGTGGGTGAGTCATCCGAGAGGAAGCAGCCTTCGTTCCGAAGCTGATTATCCTATTTAGGCAACTGGCTAATGAAAAGGGCCCTGGACGACCCCGAGGACCCAGGCCAGGACCCGAGGACAGCCTGGACTTCCCTGGCTTCGTGGGTCTCTCAAGGCTGCTGCTTCGCTGCTTCCGATACTCCGGCTTTGGGATACCCCGAACGAAACAAAGGGTGGGGGCGGGGAGCGTTGGGCTACCAACACAAATGTGTACCAGTTTCTACTTATTTTGAAGATGCGTAAACAAAGGAGTCGGTGGGCGCAGCCGCTGGCCACTGCGCTGCGCTGTGCTGCGTTGCGGGGTTGACGAGGTGAAAGGCCACGTCCAAGCGGACCAGCACTGATAAGCAGGCTGTCACAACACGGCCCGCCAAGCCATAGCCAAGCCATGGCCAAGCCATGCGGCGCAAGCAGGCGCAAGCCGACTGGTGGACCGCACAGCCCGACGCTTTGCGCCGTTCCTTTTCGACTCCAAGACCGACGAAACCAAGAAACCGCCAGAGCTAGGGGGAGCCTGCGACCGTTTGCCACTGTGCGTGCAGAAGCCGGCCTCACATCGCAATAGGAAGGCACACCGAGACAGTCTAACAGACAACAGCAACACGTGCTGCTGGGCCGGGGCTGGGCCTTCCCGCGAGGCTGTTGTCGCGCTAGCCGTCGTTGCGCAAGCTTCGCGACAAGCTTGCTTCTGGCGCCCGAAAGGCTGCTGAGTGAGAAGACATGCTGCCGATGGTTCAGATTAACGGAACGGAACGTGTGCATTTAGAATCGTGGCGCCGGACGCCGCAGGCCACGGGGGCTCTAGGAAACCTGGGCCGCGAACGCGCGCGCATCGAACGGGCGTGCTTTCCGCGAGGACCGCGCAGGATGCTCGTTCGCGCCTCGCGGAGGCGGAGAGGTAAGAGGGAAGGCTCCGCGCTCCGCCGTGGCACCGCGTTCTTGGCGGGCTTGGCAACGCACGCGGCCCCTCGAGGCCGGCGCCGAACGCACGCCGCACGCACGGGACTTAGTCGTCGCGCCTCTCCGAGTCTCCGACAAACGCAGACGCCAAACCAGCAAAAAGACTCACCGTCGCAGCTGCGGAACTCGACCACGTCCGCGAACGCGACCCCCGCGAACAGCAGGGCCGCCAACGTCACCGCCAGGATGTTGCTCCACTTGAGGGCCATTGTGCTCTGCGCGCTCACTCGCTCAGCGGGACGATTTGCGGAGAGGAATGGACAGACCGTCGCGACCCGCCGACCGACGCGTGCAAAGTGGGCAGTGGCCCGCGCTTAGCCTGCGCCGACCCGCCGACCCGCCACTGGGTGGTCAGCGGGGCCAGCAGCGCCAGCGGCGGAGGGGGAGAGGGAGAGGGAGGGTGCGGTGGGAGAGAGAGGGGCAGAGACCCTGGCCTTGCCTAGGCCGGCCGGCCGGGCTCAATAGAAGACGGCACGACAATGTCTTATCTCGCCTTCCCTCCTTCCTTATTTGTGGACGCTGTGCTTTCTCGCTGACCACGACGTCGGCGACGCCCGCGCGGCTGCGCGCCCACGGGGAGGACAAAAAGAAGAAATAGTTTGGCCAGCTGAGGCGTGCCGTACCACCGTATCGGCCGCCACGCTGTTTGGGGTGAGATAAGTGTGTTGGGGGAAGAGGTCAGAGTCGAACGCCTCACGGTCGCTCGGAATGTCATTCATGTCGGAAGACATTGTAATGGAGTCGTTCGATTCGATATACACAACACTGCCACACGTGCAGGCAGCCGGGCGTGGTTTGATTTCCGCGCGTTTTAGTCCCGCTCCGTTCGCTCCGTTCCAGCTCCTAGCGCCCGCAGATTCGAGCCTATGCAACCCGCTGGCCAGCTGCAAGTATAATGAGTTGCCTACCCGCCAGGCGGTGGAAGAGGAGAAATACTCTCTTAAAAACTGCGATAGTACTTGCTGTTGGAAGATATTTATTGCCCTCATGAATGATATTTTGTACAAAATGAGCTGACATGTATAAAAAAATTACTCTATAGACTATTTACAAATAAAAATAATCTTACTCTTGAGAAGTCGGTTGAATCTTTGAAAAATATACATATTATAACCACATATTACAAAACAACATAATACATAAATTCATCATATAAACATTACATAAAAATAACACAGAACACATAGTTTTGATTTTGAATACATCAGGTAACTAGATCGAGGCACAATGCCTTTTTTTTAAAATCAAAGTAATGCCACTTGGAACATCACACTAAACGAGTCTTGTAGAAAATACAAAGATTGATGATTGAGCAAGCAGGAAAAATATGTCTAACCAAGTCTGCAAATTCTTGGCACATGTTTAACTTCAGTCCGAGTGATGGGTAGTCGGATCTCTAGTGAACGATCAATTACACCTTTCTTGGCTTAACCAAGAAGGCAAATAGAACGCACTTCCGAAGTTGTGAATACAAGAACTGTGGTTTCCAAAATATCTTTGCTTCGTTTACCGGATAATTCCAAAACGCACATCCCCGTGACAAAGCGCTGTCGCTTCATCGACGAGTTTGATCTGACGGGAACCGCCTTTAAATTACGCAAACAGGTACGTGAAAAATATCAGTAGACGATGTGGCTTTTTAACATCCAAATAGTGGTCACGCAATTTAAGGGCGGCCCCCGTGTGAGTGGCTGCCCAGCGTGCAAGACGCGCCCTTGAGCGACAAGGAGTGCTTGCACGGCCGAGGGCAATGTTGGCACTTCCCTGAGGTCTCCCCTCTCCCGCTCCGGCCGCTCCTGCAAGCAAAGCAAAAGGACATCGTTATTGTTTAGTCCGAATGACGGCGACTTGGAGGGAAGCTCAGGGACCGGGCTTCGCTGCTGCGTTACCTGCGCGGCGCTCCCGCTCTACACCACGTAGACCGTGTCCCTGCACGCCGAGATCTGTGCCTCCTGCAGTATTCTGAGGCGGGGGCCCATGGGGATGCCCATCTTCTGCAGGCGCTCCTCCGTCAGGTACGGCAGCTCCACCATCCCCACGCGCTCCTGCTCGAAGGCGGACGCGTATTTCTGGCAAATAAAAGGAGGAGCGTCAAGATGAGCTGAGCGCCGGCGAGAGTTGCCGGTGCACGGTGGGCCAGAAGACCGGTGGAGGCGGTCAAAATTCTAGACGCGTTTTGAGCTCCAGAGTCGCTAAATGGGACTCGAACCGAACGTGTGACCCCATTAATGGATTGCTCTCCGAACGAGGAATCCATTGGTGGGGACACACGGTCGGCTCGAGTCCTGTTTCGCGACTCCGGAACTCAACACGCGCCACCGCCTTCTGGCCCACTGTGCGGCGCTCACTGCCGCGCGCCGCGCCAACGAGGACCCACCTCGTAGCCGAGCTTCTTGAGGAAGAGTCTGAGGAGCGGCGGCTCGTCGCCGAAGAACTTGGTGAGCTTCTTGACCCTGGAGGGGTTGGTGATGGCGGCGGGGTCCCTCAGGCGGTCCTTCCGCGGGTCCTTGTCGGCCAGCAGCTGGTTCAGGCCGCGGGGCACCGACTGCGACTGCGACCGCGCCGCGATCATATTCGTCTGCGTCCGCAGGCTGGCCATCTCGCTTCGGATGTGCTCCATCTCCTGCGGGGAGGAGAAGGGTCCGGGTTCAAATACCAGCCGAATAGTCCGTCTTGTTCCGGACAGTGAAGTCAACCTTACCCTGATCATGAGATGCTGCGTCCGCATTTCCGACGACAGGTGCGCGACGCTCCTGGCCAGGGTGACGACGTGCGACTCGAGGCGCTGGAAGCGCTTGTTGATGCCCTCGAAGTCGCGGACCTTCTTGCGGTCGTCGTGGCGCGCGTTGCGGCGGTCGCGGAGGTCGCGGACGGGCCTGCTGGACACGGAGCTGGGCAAGGAGGACATGCTGCCGTACAGGCGCCGCTTGTTGACGCGAGGGTCGGAGGGCTGGTACCGCGCTCGCTGCTTGCGCACGCCCAGCAGCTTCAGCACCTGAGGAAGAACCGACTTAGTTTTTGAGCCGAGCACCGCGACGAGGTCAGCAAACGGTAAAGAATGGCGCCGGCGAGCTCACCTCCGAGTACATGCCCTCCAGGCCCTCCAGCTGCTTCCGGATGGCCCGGGTGTCCGCGCCGTCCACCGTCGTGCTCATGTCCTCGTCCTCCTCGCTCGTGTTGTTCTCCTCCGTGTTGGTGGCGCCGTCCAGCATCGAGTCCAGGTCGAGCCGCGCGCCGTCCTCCAGCCCCAAGGCACCTGCACGTGCACATCGGGGATGACAATCCGCGCGCCAACCGCCGCGCACCAGAGATCGCACAGTGGGCCAGAAGACCGGCGCAGACGGCTAAAACTATAGACGGATTTTGAGCTCCAGAGTCGCTAAATGGGACTCGAACCGATCGTGACCCCACCAATGGAATTCTCTCGGAACGAGGAATCCATTGGTGGGGTCACACGTTCGCTTCGAGTCATGTTCAGCGACTCTGGAGCTCAAAACGCGTCTCGAGTTTTGGCCGCCTGCGCCGGTCTTCTGGCCCACTGCGGATCGGACTCAAACTACTCACTGAGAGGGATCTTGCCGCCCTTGGCCGACATCTGCAGCTGGTCCTTCTTCTTGTGGCCGCGGTCCAGCTGCTTGCCGGGCCGCCAACCGCGCGACGCGGACACCGCCACCCCCGCGTGGCCGCCCACCCGCTTGGCGCTCGACGACAGCCCCGCGCCGTGGACGCCCTTGCGGCTGCCGAACTCGAGCAGGGAGTAGTCGGGCTTGGTCCCGTACGGCAGGCTGAGAATGAGAGCAGGGGTTGGTTACAGTTTCGCCTGCGTTACGCGTGGCTCGGGTGAATTTTGAGTGTCAAATCTGCTTACCTCTGCGAGTGGTTGTACCGCGCCGAGGCCCTCGGCGAGCCACCGGGAGAGGAGCCGCCGGGCGACAGGGGCGGCAGGGGCGGCGTCATGGACGAGATGCTCTCGCTCAACGTCGAGTTGGCGGCCGTGGTGTTGCCCAGCGAGTTGTCCAGGATCTGGCGCAGCTCCGACTCCACCATGTCCACCCACTCGCAGGGGTGGCCGCCTGAGGGAAGAAGTGAGGTTTGAGTATGGGACTTTCCGGGGTGCGGATCAGGCTCTGTCGCGTACCTGGCGTCTGCGGGGACGTGGGCAGCTCGGTGCCGGCGTCGAGGCCCAGCGCACCGAGCCCGTGGCCGAGGCACGTCGGCCCGTTGGCGGGCCGTTCGACGCCGGCCTTGCTGCGCGGGCCGCTGCTGTAGACCGTGGAGCCGCGGCCGGAGTCGGACTGCGACTGCCTGGACAAGAGCCCCGTGCCCGAGCCGGCCTTGTCGTAGTCCGAGCTGGAGCTCCCCGACGGGTTGCTGGCCGTGCCCGACGGCAGCGACAGGGACGACGCCGGGTTGGTGGAGGTGACGTCACCGCGGCCGCTCTGCCTCGTCCGGTCCGACACGAAGCCGCCCTCGTCGTCGTCCTCGGCGCGCGGCTGCGACACGGAGCCCCGCCGCGCCTGGGGCACCGCGGTGCCGCCGGTCTGCTGCTCCGCCGCGGCGGTCGGCCCCGGCGTGGGCCCCGCAGTGCGCCCGTAGGGGTCCTGGTCCACGTACATCTCGTTGGGGTCGGCGGGGCTCTTGGCGTCGGGCTGGTACGCCGCGTGCTTCCCCTGCGCCTCGTGCACCACCTGGTACAGCCCGCCGCCGTACGTGACACCCTTCGGGGTCTCGTCCAGCGCTGGCGGCTGCGACTGCGGGGGCGGCGGCGGCTTGGTCTGGCCGTAGACGCTCTCGCCAGACGCCTCCGGGGCCTTGGTCTGGCCGTACAGGGGCTGACGCATCACCATGTACACGCCGTGCTCCCGGAGCAGCGTCTGCGGGCTGGACACGGCCGCGTTGCTGGAGCCCTGCTGGGGCCTCTGCTGCTGCGACGTTTGGGGCGGCGGCTGCTTGGTGGGCGTGCCGGGCTGGGCCATGGGCTGCGCCATGGACTGGGGGTACCGCTGGTAGATGGGCTCAGCGTGCACGGCGTGTGGCATGGGCACGCGCTGGTAGGGCGAGTTGACGGGCACCTTGCCGTACCTGGCCGCCGTGGAGCCGTAGACGCCGTCCTCGTCCACCTGGCGGTACGGCGTCTGCCCCGCGACGCGCTGCGCGCTCGCCGCCGCAGGCAGGTGCTGGTAGTCGTCGTCCACGCGACCCGACACTCGCTGCCTGGGCGTCGTCGGCGTCCTGGCCGATTGGTTTCCCGCGTCCTCAGCCACCCCGTTGTGCCTCGTCGTGCTCTGCGGCGTCTGCTGCGCGGCCTGCGTCGTGGCGGTCGCCTGCTGGGGCGCACCGCCGTTCTGCTGCAGGTTGTTGAGGGCGCCCTCCACGTCGGCGTCCTTCCCTTGCTTTGAGTCTTTGTTGCCGAAGCGACTCGAGATGAGGTCCTTGATGGAGTGGTAGGTCCGCGAAGGGAAGGCTTTGCTGCTGGACGAGGACGGCGTGGCGTCCTTGGCGCCGTTCGCGACGCCGTTAGCCACGCCGTTGGACTCCGCTGCGGTCGGCGTGCTCGTGGCGCTGGGGTCCACCGTGATGGCGTACATGTCCTGCTGCTGCAGCTGACGTGCTGCGGCTGTGGCCATCGATTGTTGTTGCTGCTGCTGCTGTTGTTGCTGCTGCTGTTGCTGCTGCTGCTGTTGTTGTTGCTGATGTTGCTGGCGCTGCTGCTGCGCATGGAGCTGCTGCTGCCGCTCGATCTGCTGCCGCGACCGTGTGGGGGAGTCCGTCGTCGTCCAGGTCCGCGGCATTGCGCTGGGGGTGCTGGGAACAAGAAAACTTTAGATTAACAACAACGTCTCAGCCTTTTTCTTTTTCCATTGTCCCGTCATGCGGCGTTAGATTCACAACTCACCTGCCGTAGATGGACTCGTGGTTGGTGGTGCCCGGGTGATATGATACGGGCCGGGGCTGACTCACCGGGGAGTCCTGCGTCACGTGGAGTGGCTGGGCCTGCGGCAACAGAGTCACTGGTTCGAATCTCCGCAAGGAATTTGATTGAGAGTCGCTAAAAGAGTGTGATTTTTTTCGAATCAACGAACCTTGTAGACGACGTGGCCCATGGTGTCCAGCGCGTCGTGCGAGGCCGCCAGGCCGTAGGTTTGTCCGAGGCCGTGGTGGCCGCCCTGGTGGCCGCCCTGGTGGCCCGAGGCCGCCGTCGTGCCGGCCATGGGGTGGCACCGCAGCTCCACCTCATGCTGCATGCCGCCCCCCTTCTTGTCTTCCGTCCAGGCCAGCGACCTGGAGGGCGCGTCGGGGGCGATGGCGGCGGCCGACTTGGGCCTCTTCTTGTACTCGTGCAGGATGGGAATCTTGGAGTCCTTGTCGGAGCCGCTGAGGATCACCTCCCGCTCGATCTGCGGCCAGAATGGAAGGGATAAGCGCACAAGCCGTGACGTCTTCTTTTTTGCGTGTTCCTTTTATCCTGGTTACAAAATTATCAGTGTGGGCCAGGTACGGTATTCCTGCCCGGCCCGCTTGGAGGCCTGCCTCCCTGAATGGGGCGCAGCGCTTGGCGCAGCGGGCACCCTCACCGCCCCCGGTAGAGTGTAGAGGCAGGACTGAGAGACCAAAAGGCTGAAACGAGATCGCGGCGCGCGGCGCGGCCGGCTGCGGGCTTCGTGTGATTAATTGATTCGGACGCAGATACGCTTTCAATTCATGCGTCGTCGCCTCGCCTCCGCCGCCACCAGGGCTGCCACCTTGCCCATGCCTCTCGGCCGGGTCACCGCCTGATTGATTGACTGATTGCATGCAGGGCTGATGGATTGGTTTCAGGAACTCTAGACCCCCACGCCCCTCCCCCGCGCCCCTCACCCCTCGCCCGGAGCCCCGCCGCTATGAACCTGTACGTCACAGGCAGCAGCCGAACGCCGCGCCGGCGCTGGGAACCTTCTCACGACCCTCGTCGCCCCGCCCCGCCCCGGCACTTTGCAGTCCTGCCCCGCGTCTGTCGACTAATCAAACATTTCCCAGGGTGGATTCAAACGCATTGTTACGGCAGCAGCGCCGCACCGCTCCACGCCCGGGGTATCTCCGTTGTAAATGTTGCACTCCTTCTCCTGCTCGGCCGCCGCCGTCCGTGTCTTTGTCCCTCCAAAGGACGGCGACGACGCGGCCGGCCGACCGGCAGCCTCGCGTGAGGGTAATGACGGCCCCGTCCCTACAGCCTACAGGGCGTCGGCCGCGGCGTCCTTCGCGTCGTCTCGCGGCCCGGGCCGGCCGGGCCGGGCCACACAGCAGCGTCCGCGGCCGCGGCGGCGTCGTCGCCTGGCCGGTCGCCTGGCCTCTCGCCGGTCCGGATGTATTCATTAAAATCGGCGTGGCGGACCACTGTAACGATATGCGTGCCGTCGCGCCGTTTTCCCACCGCGCCCCGCACGTCGCCGACGGCGGCATCGGGATTATTGTGAATAACAACTCCACGCAATGCACGCGTCGCGCACACTGTACACCGAGACCGAGACGCAGACGCGCGGGGCGGCGTCGGCCCGGGCCTTATTAGGCGTAAAGACGGACGCCGTCTTGGGAACCGAAAATGGCAGAGCGGCGCCCGGGGCCGGGAGCACCTCGTCGAGGGTCTCGCCCAGGTCGAGCGTCGCTTTCGTTTCGCTTCCTGTCTCTCTCGCACTCGTGGGGCGTTCCGCCTAGGTGCGAGAGAGACAGAGTGGCGGAACGCCGTGCGGAATCCGCCTCCAGGCCGCGCCGACTGGTGTGCACCTTCGCTGCAAGCGGCCGCGTCCGCCGCGTCCTGGAGGCCGCGTCCTGCACCGGCAGCACCGGCCACCGGCAGCAGGTTGGTTGGGGCCTCGAATCATGCGCTCTTCAAAAGGAACCGCTCGGCCGGACTGAGAGGGCAGACGAAAATGAGCTGTGGCAGCCTAATGAGCCGCCCCCCCCCCCCCCCGCACACACACAGGGCGTCCGCATTGTGTACGTAGTGCCGTATTCGGCGCACTGTTGCAATACGCGAGGAAAACAAAAAAAGAAACAAACAACAATAGTCGTTCGTGGACTTTGGCCGGGTTGAACCCGGCAGCTAGCGGGTTCAATACCTCTGCGTGCACTTCCACTGCACCGGCCGGCCAGCCCCGGAGGCCTCGTTTCGTTGCACTGGCTGCCCGTCGTCGTGTACGCTGTACGCAAATTGGCCGACGTGCATCGCGGCGCATCGCGGGGGGGGGGGGATGGCCGCCATCGTGGAGGCGTCCGCGTCGACGCGCGTCTGGAGTCGGCGCCGCCGCCGCGGCCGCCACGGTGCTGCCGCGGAGGCGCCGCGCCAGGCGAGGGAGTATTCCGACGCAGCCGCGGACTGCGTCACTCTACTCACTCACCGTGACCCAAAGCGAGGGCGGGGCCGCCGCAAACGGCGTGTGAAGCGCGTGGCGGGGCGGGCGGGGCGCGCAGGGCGAGGGCGAGGGGCCGCACAGTGGGCCAGAAGCCCGGTGAAGGCGACCGAAACTCTAGACGCGGTTTGAGCTCCAGAGTCGCTAAACAGGACTCGAATCGAACGTGTGACTCCACTAATGGACTCCTCGTTCGGAGAGCAATCTATTAGTGGGGTCACACGTTCGGTTCCAGTCCCATTTGGCGACTCTGGAGCTCAAAACCCGTCCGGGATTTGGACCGCCTCCCCCGGTCTTCTGGCCCACTGTGGGCCGCCGAGCAGCACCGAAACCCCGGAGTATCGCGCGGGCCGAAGCCGACGCCGGCGGGACCACCGTGCCGTTATCGCGTCAACATTCATCGCGCTGCTCGCCGCTCCAGTAACCATGCTAATAATCCACCGGCCTTCAGCGGAATAGTGTAGAATGAGGCAATGATTATCGAGAAAAATAAAAAGGTCAAGAGATATCCGGTCCGGTGCTTCAACCACTACGTGCATAACGAGCGTGCTCATGCACATGCTCTGATTTCGCCGCCCATTCATTAAATCTTTTCAAAATTCTTTTGCATATTTTGGAATGCAAACCCAAACCCTCTGAGAGCGTCCTCACCGGCATCGCCCCACGCTGTCGCCGCGCTGTCGCTCCACCCCGCCCCGTGCCTCGGCCCTGCCGCCCTTCTGGACCGGAAGCTGGGAAGCGTGGGAGAGGGGGAGGTGGTGCACGACGGGAAGTGCGCCCTCCCGACAGCTGATGGCCCCGAATAGAACGGTGTGGGGCGGAGAGGTGCGTGCGTTGGCCCCGCGCCGCCCTGGCCGGGCTGTTGTGGCTCCGAGGGCTCCCAGGGGGTCCCAGGTCCCAGTCGGCCCCGGGGCCCAGGTTGGGGGTAACAAGCTCCGTGAGTAAGGAACGCCAGGTGGTGCGCGGCGGGCAGGGCTGCAGGCTGCATGCGGTGGGACGAAGCGGGATGCCCTGGGAAGGGGCGGGGCGCGAGTGTAAATTCGCGCCGATCGCACAGCCACCTGCGAGGCGCTAACTCGAACACATTCGCGAGCCATAAAACAACACCACCGATGTTGTCAGCGACTAGGCGCGGCGGTTTGAACCTCGCCAAAGTCCGAACCGGTGCTGCCACCTAGACGCCAGACGCGCGGCCCACCCGGCCGGCCAGCCCGCCAAACAAGGGACTAATTCAGTCATTCAGCAATTCAGTCGGCGATACTCCACTTTGTTACCCGATCCTTGCTCCCAGGCAGTCGTTCCTTTTCTTTTTTCCGGGCAGCGGCGTGGGGCGTGGGCCCGTAGCCGATCGCCGGGCCCGACCGGGGCCGACCAGGGCCCGACCCGACACGCGTGTGGCCAGGGCGGCCAGCGCCGCGCGGCCGGCAGCGCGGCCCGGGGGCGCGAGCTCCGCCACGACACGACACGCCGCTGGAGCTGAAGCTGGGGCCGCACAGTGGGCCGGGGGGCCGGGGCCGCGCCGGGCCGGGGGGCCTCAACCTCTGGAATGGTCGGCATGCCCGCTGACTGGCTGCCAGGCACCGCCAGGCCGGCCGGCCTGCCCACTGGGCGACTGGGCCACCATCATGCACGCCATGATTGATAATCACCGGCCGGGCGTACGGTACGCTACGGCGGTACGGCACCGCGCACAATGGGACCTGCCGTGACTTGACCGCCAGCGTAAGCGAACGCACCGCCAGGGCCAGGTCGCCGCCGGGACCGCGAACCGCACCGCCAGGGCACCGCCTGCCCTCGCACGTGTGCGCCGCACGTCGCACGTGCCCGTGCCCCAGACACAGTGGTTGCGTGGCTCGGGTTTTGCGAGGATCCTTTCTTTGTCGCGGCGGCCGGAAGTGCGCCCCCCGTCGTCGAGAAGGGCCTGTCCGGCCTGTCCGCCGCTTCGTGCGGCGCGGCACGTCCACGATGTCGTCTGCTCCGACGTCCAGGCCTACGTCGACGTCCACGACGACGTCCACGCGCCACGCAGGGACTCGGAGGCGCACAATGGTTTCAATGGCGCGGCCGCACGCAGGGCTCCCGGTGCCCCGAACCATTTATTATTAGGAACGCGGCTCAGGCGGCCCCGCGCCCTTCCCTTCCCTCGCGGCCGGCATCGACATCAACGACGTGAAAATGGTAATCCGAATCCGAACGCGCCGCGCCAAAATGCTTACCACAACAATAATTCTTCCTCTTCCCCGTTTCCACTTTTTTATGGCCGCCGGCTAGCGCGTCAAACACCTCCTCCCGAGGCGCCTCGCGGGCCTCGCGAGCGGGTCCAGGACCGCGCCGGGCCCTGCGCGCTGCGAGGACTGTGGATTAGCCTCGGCGGCATCATGGCGGCTCCAAACATCTCCAGCCGGAAAAACGTCTCGGGGCGTCGGGCTGCGGCCGGCCTATGAATATATATCGGCCGCGCCGCGAGCAGCCGGAATACCAATGGCAGGACGGCCGGGATGGCCAGGAGCGGGGACAGCACAGGACAGGGCGGACAGGGCGGGGCGTCGTCGCGGCGTGTCGCAGGGCCGCGGGGCGCCGCCGGATTGATGGCACTGTCCGTCCGGCACCTCGAGGAGCTCGACCAGCGCGAGGAACACCACAAAGCTTCCAGCTCGTAATGACCGGCGCCGAGCAAGCACCTGGGCACCGCACCCCGCCCCGCCCCGCCCCACCCCGCCCCGCCACCGTGTCGCCGCGCCGTATCCGTCGCGCCCCGATCCGCGAGTCCACTTCCGCTTCCGATGAGCGTCTCATCTCCCGAGGCGCCGGAGGAGCGCGGCGATGGCTCGGCGTTGACAAGAACAGTCCCCCCACCCCGCTACCCCGCGGCCCCGCCGCCGCCGTCACGCGGCCAAAATGGAGTTCACAATCCTATAACGGGAAATGTTCCTAGCAAGACATCAACGAGAGGCGGAGAGGAAAGAAAACGACGCAAAAAACGTCATCTGGCGCCGCACTGCCGCGCTGCGCTGCGGGCGCGGCTTTCAGATTAGCCCTGTTTTCCAGCAGAAACACTCCGCGCGCCGCGCACGGTGCACCAGCGGCACGCCAATGGCGATGGAAGAAGGTTGGCCCGACAGACATCCGCACAGTGGGCCAGAGGACCGGTGCCGCCGGCTAAAACTCTTGACGCGTTTTGAGTTCCAGAGTCGCTAAGCAGGACTCAAATTGGGCGTGTGACCCCACCAATGGATTCCTCGTTCGGAGAGCAATCCATTGATGGGGTCACACGTTCGGTTCCAGTCCCATTTAGCGACTCTGGAGCTCAAAACGCGTCCAGGATTTTGACCGCCTCCACCTGTTCTGGCTCACTGTGATCCGTCTACATTGTGACCAACTTTGCGGTGCCTCCGCCTCCAAACGGGTGTTGGCAATGGCCCACTCACCGGGAACTTGCTGGAGTGCGTGTGCAGCTGCCGCGGCGACGGGCTCAGGGGCTCTCGCAGCAGGTCCGCGGCGTCCGTGGCGGTGCCGGGCAGTCCTGGCGACAGTCCGGGCAGCCCGACCAGGGACAGGCCCGGGGGCAGGCGGTAGGGCGGCGGCGAGGCCTGGGCGCTGGCGACGGGGAGTGGCTTGGGCGGCGGCACCGGCTTGTAAGGCCCATAACCCTCTGCCTCGGCTGCAACACACAGAACAGGAACCGTCAGCATCGCGGTCAGCATCGCGGTCAGCATCCCCCGCAGGACTCGTCGTCGCGTCGCTCCGTCGTCATTCCCCGACCCTGCCGTCCTCGCGTCCACCGTCACAAACCTGGCGGCATCCTTCGAGGCGAGCAGGACACCTGGCTGACGACGCCGTTGCTGTTGCCGTAGTAGCTGTTGCTGTTGTTGGCGGCTCCACTTCGCCTGAGCCGAGCCTCCTGCTTCACCCGGCGCACGGTCGTCGCCATGAGCAACGTGTCAACGCGTCCCCATGACGCCCACGTCGCCGGCCGGCCTGGCCAGGTGCACAGGTGTCGGGGCGCGGCCTGCGCGGCCTGCGCGGCGCGGCTGGCACAGGTGGCGTCCTCAGGACGGTCCTCAGAACGCTGTCCCGCATCTGTCCGTCAGCGGCGGCGGCTCGTCGTGGCGCTGGTCGCGATGGTCGCGCTGTCGTGACGACGCGCAATGCCGCATTCCCGCGCCATGGGATAGGCCCGCCGCTCGGCCCGCCGCTCGGCCCGCCGGCTGCAAGGCACCACGAGGAAGTAGTGGTTGGCGTTCCGCGGAGCTCGTCCGCCTCACAGAGGGACAGCTAGACCGGCGCAGACGGTCAAAACTCTACACGCTCCAGAGTCGCTAAATGGGACTCGAACCGAACGTGTGACCCCACCGTTGGATTCCTCGTTCGGACAGCAATCCATTGATGGGGTCACAGGTTCAGATCGAGTCCTGTTAAGCGACTCTGGAGCTCAAAACGCGTCCGGGATTTCGACCGCCTCCACCGGTCTTCTGGCCCACTGTGCGCCCTGCTCCGTCCGTCGGGAAGGAGGAGGGTGGGGCTCGGCGCGGGGCTTGGCTTGACGCATGGACGCGACGCGAATGTTGTCCCTCCTCGGCCTGGCCTCAGTGCGTTGACCGCCCCCTCCCGCACTCGCACTGGTCCTCGCGGTTGGTCCGCGCGCCGCGCCGCGCCTTTCCAAATGACTGTTGGCAGGTGCCTTCAAAAACTTTCTCTCCCGCACTGCCGGCACTGCCCTGCCCGTCCGGGCCGGCGGGCCCTTCACTGTGTGGCGCTATTTGCAGTCCTCGCGCTGCGCCGCGTCGCTGTTTGCTCGCACGGCCGTTTGCTTATTTGCAGACGCGTGGGGCGCGGGGCGGCGTGCAGCGCGCAGCCCTTTCCAGGAACACACACCGGGCCGGCTGGACCAGCCCGCCGGGCCACGCCCACCTCCAGATGAATGACGCTGCACTCCAACGACCTCGCTCTGTCTCTCTCCCACACTCACGCCGCATCGTAAGGGGGGAGAGAGACAGGGCTAGTCTATGCTGCCTCGGCCGGGGCCGGCCCCATCATCATCATCTGGCTGCCAATAAGCGGGCCGGCAAGCGCACCGCGAGGAGCACTATTTACACGCTAAGCAGGCAGTGATGAGTGCGAATAACGAGGAGCGAAGCAGCGTTGTAATGTGAGCAGGCTCTCGTCTTTCCCCGAATCCGCGCCGTGACGCAACACACACACGCACACACACAAACACACACACACACAGCCAGGGATGAAACGGCGAGTAGCCCTGACCCGCGCCAAAGTGCGGCGCCAACAACCATAGTCGGCCGTCATTCCTCCTTGATCCAAGCAGCATCTCGGATTAGATCGAGATTGCGGGCGGACAGACAGAAGGGCAGGCTGACGGACCGACGGGCGGGGGGCAGTAACAACTTAATCTATTCCCGCTGCTCGTTATGGTCCTGCACTTTGCGGGTCGACCCATGAGGTCAGTCGTTCCGCGGGTCGTCACACGCACACGGTCAAGGTGTGCGCGTGCATGTGTGCGTCGGTGTGCGCGCGCGCCTTTGCGTGTTTTGTTTACTTGGCGCGAAACTGGAGCGCGCGCGCGGTGCGCACGCGCGTGGGGCGGGAAAATTTGATTGAAATCTGATGAAAGCCATTCTGGCGCTCTGGCATAGGCTCGGCCAAGGCACGGCCGGGGCCACGCGATTGCCAGGGAAAGCGAATGACACACGGGAAACGCGTGCCAATAAGTTAATGGCGGCCGACGTATCTCTTTGCGACCTACACGCTCAATTACGGCAAACACCGCCGCGCGGTGTGACACGGACACGCCACGGCGCCGCACGGCGCACGCCGAGTGACAAAGTGACTTGGCAACGCGGGCGGAGGACCGGGAAAACGGCCTTGAAAATCAAAGCAACCGCGGAGGACGCGGGGAAGTGCCTGGCGCTCTTCGAGACTCTTCGAGACTCTTCGAGACTCTTCGAGACTCTGCGAGACTCTTCGAGACTCTGCGAGACTCTGCGAGACTCTTCGAGTTCGAGGGCGTCGCCGCCAATCGATGCCCAGGCAAGTGCCCAGGTCGACGCCGAGGTGCCGAGGCCGTGATTGATGAGAGCTTCCGATAATTACCGGCAGTCCGTCAGGCCGACACGACGACCCGCTGCAGGCCGTCGCTCTGTCTCCCTCGCACCGCTACGCAACGCCCCGTGAGTGCGAGAGAGACAGAGCGACGAAACCCGTCGCGCTGATAATGACCTGATATCAGTCGGTCCCGGGCCTTCAAGCCGCCAGGCCGCCAATGGCATTCCGGCCAGTCGGACGGTCGGCCCGCGAAAGCTGCACCGCGCTGAGCCGCGCTGAGCCGCACGCCGCCTCCTCCAAGCAGGCCGGGTTTGTCAATGGGGCGCCGCGCCGGGGTCCGGACTGGCGGCCTGGGCCCGGCACTGGTTGGTCGGGGTCAGGCGCCGGATTGCCCCCGGACGGCACGCCGACGGCACGCCCGCCAACCCCGCGACCCTCCCGATTAATCACGGCGTCGTGCCGCGCCACACTGTAGTCGCCGCGGCACTGCATGACGGCGCGGCAGGTGGATCCCGCGAGCCCCGGGCAGGCCGAGGCCGCCAGCCGATTCGGCCGCGGGGCGTGGCGGCGTGGCGGCGTGGCGCGGTATGAGAAAGTCAGCGTGCGTTCGGCTGGCATCACGTCGTGCTCGTGTGGTCGTGGTTCGACCCAGGATGGACGAACTGGCCAGTGGCGCACGCAGAAATTTTGAAAGGGGGAGAGGTCAGGCCGGTCTAGTCATGCGTTTTTCCTGTTTTCAGGCGGAATGTATCACAATTTGCCTTCCTTCCGGGCGGCTGTCTAGTACCTTTGCGCACGCCACTGGACCTGCCCTATGCCTGCGCCGCAGTCTCGGCAGCCAGCACCTGCGGGTCCCTGTCGCCGACCCCGTCCCCACGGCCGAGGCCGTGCCGCCGTGCCCTACCGAACCGACCGAACCCAACCCCCTGCACCGCACTTCCTGCCAGGTGGCCCTCCACGGGGCTCTGCCCCGCCCCGCCCCGCCCCGCCCCGCTCCACCCGCATGGCGCAGCATGGCGCACATCGCACACGGAGTGCGGCCACACTGCTAGGGAAAACAGCAGAAACCAACAACATTGCCGCCCACGCCACGTAAAATGCGAGGACGAAAATGGCGCGGAGACTTGAACGCGGGGCGAGCCAATAGCGCCGTGCGCGGCAGCCCCGCCCCGCCCCGCCCCGCCCCGCCCCGCCAGTCGCACAAATAGTGGCGCAACGCGTGGGCGTGCGTGAGACTTCGGGACTTGACGAATCGCCGGAGAAAGCAAAGCCACTTTAAACTTTAATTTAGGAACCGCCAAGTCTACGAATGGCACGCGGCGTGTGTCGAGAGTCGATGCCGCGGAGATACAAGCAGGGTGATTCCGAACGCTGTGCGTCTCTCTCTCTCGCACTCGTGGGGCGCTCCGTGGGAGTGTGCGAGAGAGAGAGAGAGAGAGAGAGAGAGCGTGCTCACTGTTTTGATTCGGAACCGCTCCGCGGAGATACCCGCTGGGCTCTCCCTCTCCGTTCTCCGCGCGGCCGCAGTGCCGCGGCTCGGCCAGGCTGGACGGTCCGGGTCCAAGGACCTGACGGCCCTGCATTCGGCAACGCAAGGTCCAGTGTCGACACGAGCGGTAGCTTCCAGTGTAATCCACCGTGGGCGCGCGTTACAATTCGTACGTATCGTTTTGCAAGCGTCGCCATCACGCTCACACACGAACACGTGCCAAGACGCCGAGCGCGCGCGCGCGTGTGTGTTTGTTTGTGTGTGTACGTATGTATGCGTGCGCACGAGCATATCGTCTCACACTTTTCGACACAGCACACAGTTTTCCCACACGAGGGCACACCTGCACACAGACAGTCACATACACACACACTCACACGCGGGCGACCGCGAGAGAGAACACACACGACGTGCAACAAACACACACCACGCGGCGATACGTAACAGATATTACTTCCCGGCCGAAAGTACACACACATAGACACACACAGCACAGCACCGCGCTTGCTGGCTTGCCGGCTGGCTGGCAGCGGCCATGTAGCATGGCAGGCATGGCACCAGCTGACCGCAGGCACTGCCAGGCAGCCTCGCGCACTGCGGCACTGCGAGTGGATGCTGGCCGCGCTCCCCCGCCTCCCCGCCCAATCCGCGATGCCGCGATGCGGCGATCATACGGGGACGCGGGCGAGACGGGTTTCCATATAGCGGGGAGAACGAAGGGAAATAACAATGTAGAGGACGGCGTTCGGCGCTCTCTTTCTGGCCAGCGAGCTGCACCGCGACGCCGCGCCGCTCCACTACAAGCTACACGTCACCTGCATAAATACATCCTTCCGGCATGAACAGCTCCTCCTCCCGGTTGCCCATGGCCACCACGTGATGGTATCCGATGGCGTTCATGGTGCCGCCGTCGTTGTCACTCGCGTCACGTCCGAGGGAGTCCCAGACGAGGTCCCAGACGAGGTGCCCGGCACCGTCGCGGCGGCGGCCGCGTTCTCGGGTCGCTGCGCGCGCCGCGGCTCATGGGCTGCACCCTGGAGCACTTGTCGACGTTCACGGCGGGCGGCTCCAACGGTCGCCGACGACGTCCTCCGCGCCGCGAACACCGTGCGACC